AAAAAGGCAGTTCCCTAATGCGAAGGGTCTCCAAGCTGACTTCCATAAATCTCGGCTGTTGTGCGTATGTGTTTTGAATCTCTGTAAACCCACCCCTGTACGACTAAGGGAACAATAGCTTACTTCACTCGAGGACGTGTCTCCGCCTGAGCCGGGCATTTCTTTTTATATTTTTAGCAAGGAAAAGTTCCCAAGAAACACATCTAGCACCACACCCCAAGTTTTCAGAATAAAACAATTCTCCTTCATAGATTCAACCCTCACCTGTGGGTTTCCTTTCTACAACACAACATCGTGACTCATCCTCCTTTTCTGAGAGTGTGGTGGTTTTGAGCACCTAACGGTGGTACAACCACTTTGGAAAACCGTTTGTCAGTTTCTTAAAAAGTTAAACATAAGGGCGCCTGGGTGGCTCAGTCGGTTAAGCGTCCGACTTCAGCTCATGTCATGAGGTCAGAGTTCGTGAGTTCAAGCCCCATGTCAGGCTCTGTGCTGACAGCTCAGAGCTTGGAGTCTGCTTCGGATTCTGTGTCTCCCTCTCTCTCTGCCCCTCCCTTGCTTGTGTTCTCTCTCTCTCTCAAAAATAAGTACATAAACATTAAAAAAAAAAGTTATACATACACCCAGCACGTGACCTAACCATCCCCCTGCGATGTCCTTCCCGAAGAAAAACGCAAGCATGTGTCCACACGAAGACTGATGCAGGAATGTTCATAGCTGCTCTATTGCAATAGCAATTACTGGAAATAACCCAAATACTGGATACCCTATCCATTATCAGGAAGGGATACATGGACCGTGGGCATAGCCACACAATGGAATCAGAATGAACAACTGATACTCACAGTCATACGAATGAATCTCAAAATAATTATGCTACGTAAAGAAGCCAGACCAAAGCACGCATACAGCGTGATTCCACTTACATAAAATTCTAGAAAATGCAAACTAATCTAGCGTGAGAGAACACAGACCAGTGATTTCCTGGTGAGAGAGGGAGAAGAGGCGGGGGAGGGTGTGAGGTGAGCGAGGGCACAAAGGCTCACAAGGAAGCCTTCGGGGGTGACACATATACTCATGATACTCATTATGTGAAAGTTTCACGGGTATACGTATGTCAGAGCTTGTAGTCTGCACTATAAATGTAGTCTTTTGTAGTTGGACCTCAGTAAAATGACTCAAGTAAAGAAAAGAAAGTGAGTGAGAGCTAAAGGAAATTTTCTGGCTTACTTCCCTCCTCAGAGTCCTATCTGGCCTTTAGCAGGTGGGGAGGAAGGCAGCCAGAACTTCTTCCTTGAAACCTTCTTGCCAGCTGCTTCTTGAAAATGCCTTGGAGTGCCTCGTGCCATTCTCACGGAACTGAGGGCTCAAGATGAACTCGGGTTTTCAAGCTTAGATTAGAGAGATAGACAGATAGATAGATGATAGACACATAGATGATAGATAGATAGATAATAGACAGATAAATGATTGATAGATGATAGATGAGATAGATAATAGATAGATAGATAATAGACTTATAGACAGATACATAGATTGGTTGATTGATAAATTGATAGATGGCAGATACATAGATAGATGATAGTAGATAGATAGATAGATAGATAATAGGTGGATAGATAATAGATTAGAGATAAATAAATAGACTGATAGATTGATAGATGATAGACACATAGATGATTGATAGATAGATAGATAGATAGATAGATAATAGACAGACAGATAGATGATTGATAGATAGATGATAGATGAGATAGATAGATAATAAATAGATAGATAATAGATTGTAGACAGATATATTGATAGATTTATAGATGACAGATACATAGATGATAGATAGATAGATAGATAGATAGATAGATAGATAGATAGATAATAGGTGGAGAGATAGATAATAGGCAGATTAGAGATAAATAGACTGACAGATTGATAGATGATAGATGATACAGACAGATAATTTATGTGTATACGCACATGTATTTGTGTTTCACACACATTTCCTGGCACTGTCCCCCGAGGGCCCCAAAACAATGACCCAGCAGACAAGCACCTAGTGCCCTGATCTTGGTCTCTAAATACCTTCTTCCACCGAAAGGAAGCAGGACTCTGGAGAAATGTCTGATTCCACAGCTAGGGCAATTGCAAGATGCACCCAGAACTGATTTTTTGCATCAGGAAGCAAGCAGGTGTTCCAAGGACCAGGAGGACCCGCCAAAAGGACATAGCTGCCAACTCGATGGGGCTCCCGCCAGCCAAATCAGAGGCAACTTGGGCACCAAATTAAATCACGATGGCCATCCTCGTAGCACGTCCAACTACGTGAGGATCCAGGAGTCCGTACTAATGAAAATAAATGAAAACACGAACAAAGAGGTGAAAAACCTCTTCTCGCAGTGCCAACTAATACATATATAAAGGAATCCTGGGATTAGAAACTCGCCAATGGCTGCTGAAATTAGCGGGTGGATGTTTGATGAGGAAAGGGTGTTTACCTCCTCTCAGAGGGCGACTCCCCAAATTACATACGATCCCATTGACTTTACCATCCTCTTTTTTTTCCTCCCTGAATCATGCTCCGAACCAATAAATCATTTTTTGAAATACCCAGTTAACTTTGGATCTTCCTCACTCAGCTCGTTTAATTTTATTACAGCTTGGGGAACAGAGAGATTGGTTTTCGAGACATTAATTAGCCAGAAAAAACCACATATATTTCTAGTAGCTGCATAAAAAGACTTGAATATTCGGGAGCCTGGGGGGCTCAGTCGGTTGAGCACCCAACTTCGGCTCAGGTCATGATGTCACTGTTCATGGGTTTGAGCCCTGCGTCCGGGCTCTGTGCTGACAGCTCAGAGCCTGGAGCCTGCTTCAGATTCTGTGTCTCCCTCTTTCTCCGCCCCTCCCCTGCTCATACTCTGTCTCTCGGTCTCTCAAAAATGAATAAACGTTAAAAAAGAAATTTAAATAAAGACTTGAATATTCGCCGGATAACATCAACGAAAACAAGCTCCCAAGGAAAGAAGCCACATAAAGAAGAAAGAGTGGCTTTGGTTATGGTTCGTTATAGCTACTTAGTTTTAGGTTGAAAATAAAGACTGATGATGATGATATTGGTAAGGGTTTGGGGAAGAGACCTCCACATTGCTGTGGGGAGTATAAATTGCGTGTCCCCGTGCTCTCCAGCCTTCAAGGGCCGGCAAAAAAAAAAAAAAAAAAAAAAAAAAAGTCACCTCCTTAATGAAGCCCTCCTGGGTTTCCCCAATGCTGGAGACAGGATGGTTGACATTTGCACCTCTCCTGCCCTCTTGCCCTGTGCAACCTTCTCGGAGTATTAAGCTCCATCTGTCAAATTTACAAAGCACAACAGCCCTGACTCAGCACTTCATCTGCTGGGAACATGTTCTATTGCTGTTTTCACAAAAGAGCCTAAATAAAGATACGTATATGGAGATGTATGTGGCAATTTTTTTGCAGAACAAAAAAAACCGGAAACAACCTAAATACCCAACAATTGGCAATATTCTGATACAGCTTTCAATAAAACACAAGGAGCCCGGGGGCGCCTGGGGGGCTCGGTCAGTTAAACATCGGACTCTCGATCTCAGCTCAGGTCATGATCTCTCGGCTCGTGAGTTCAAGCCCCACCTCGAGCTCTGTGCTGACGGTGTGGAGCCTCCTTGGGATTTTCTCTCTCTCCCTCTCTCTCTGCCTCTCCCCTACTCACTCACTCTCTCTCAAACTAAATAAGTGAACATTAAAAAAAAAAAAAAACCTACAGAAGTCACCCATAAATGGAATAAAATAGACCTCACGCTGATTATAAGGAGGTCACCAAGAGTATTAGGTAGAAAGGCAAGGTAGAAGACTGTGTTGCACGGTCT